AAAGCAAAAATCTGTTGGCCGCAAAGTACACTGACTGTTGTGTGTATACATGTGCAACACAATGCACATTCAACAGTAATGCTTTGTTTGGTTTCCAACAGACTTTTAATCAGACAAGGTCAGTAAAACAATGCTTCCCTGGTTGGTGTCAAGGTATGAAGAGAAACCTAACACAGTGTTTTAGCCTGAGCACAACCCTTTCGCATATTCAAATAAAACAAATGCATTCAACCGCAGACACACAGCTCTGTCAGATTGTTGCTCTAGCATTTTTGTATCTTTCTCCCTGACTGTCTCCCTGTCTTCCAGAGGAATGGACTTGAGTCAGCTGAGTTGGACTTAAACACTTAATCACTTCGACTTGTGCCCTACTACTTTCAGAAGTATGTTATTCAAAAGGTGCAACACAAATCATTTCATTTCCTGAATCAACTAACATTAATGCTATACACTCGTCAAGCTGCAGGACAGAACCACGGAGAACTAACGTTAGTGCCAGTTAGAAAGAATTGTACCAAAGATCATTTTCATTTATTCACAGACTCAGTTTCAGCTATTGTACCGTAATAATCTGTATTCCAGGTTCCCTCCCAGACTTTGATGTGCTTTCATCTTCAACCAAAACAAGCTGAAAAATTGGCTTGTAACTTAGATGCAGCAGTGAGAAAATGAATGTGCTGTTTGAACATGAAAAAGAACATAATATGGCCTCTTTAATATATCATAGTTGTAAAATTGTATTACATTTGGTGAAGAGCGCATTATGACTTGTTTAGGACTGCATACTTAAAGTGTAGGACTTGGGTCATTCTTGACTCTGGGACTTCCACAACAATGTCTTGGTCCTACCTCTGCCCCCCACGACAGGCAAACAATACGCCATCCATTTTAATAGGCTGGTAGTTTCATACTAACTCAGATATTGCCTTGAATATCATGACTCATGTCTTTTTTACTCTACCAACTGACACTGAAAGCAGTGACAGTGACTCCAGTCCCCTGGAGTCTGCTACTCTTACTGATGCCCAAGATGGTGGTTCGGCGCCAGACTCATTTGAACTACTAGCAGAGGGAGGCTTGAGCAGATTGAGCCAAAGCAATGGAGAGTGACAAAAAAGAAGATGTGAATAAGTCTGTGGAAAAAAAGTTTTCCCCTTATTTTCCTTGCAGCAGAGCTGATGATGGTCTTTGCTCTTTTCCTCCTTTTTTGTTACTTTTGCTCTGCAAGTGAAACCAAAAACTCTCTTATTTTTCTTTATTATTATTATTATTATTATTATTATTATTATTATTATTATTTCATTAATTATTTATTCAACAAGTTAAAAGTCCATCCCATTCCATCCCATCCATTATCTTACCTGCTCATTCTGGGCTGGGAACTGTCAGTTCACTTGTTACAGAGAAAAACTGGAATCTATCCCAGCTCACATTAGGCAAGAATTGCAGTCTATCACAGGGCTGACACACATCCCACATTCAGAGACCTGTGACCATTTTGAGTCCTCAGTTCACTAAACTTGCCTGGTTTGGGGGTGTGGAAAGAAACTGGAAATCCATGCTGGCATGTGCAAACTCAGGATTTTGATTTTGTGGTTGAAACAAAAATTAGTTCAATCAAAATGTCAGTTAAAACCACTCATTACATAGAAAACTGTGCTTCCAGTAAGTTCATTATTCTTTTTTCCTTACACTAGAACTATGCTACAGTCCTTACACTGTTGGACTTTCAGTGTCTAATGTCACTAATGGGAATAATGTCAAAAACAACCAAAAATAGTTCAAGCTAATTACAAAACAACACCAGATTTACCCCCTCTGTGTTCATTTTGGCCATTTTGTAGCCTGAATAATGACAAAGACCAAACAAAATCAGTCAATTCTCTATTCCCACATCCCTGGAACCTGTTTAATTCACAATGTTTCACAAAGGTCCAGACACCAATACTTTACGTGAGCTTGGCCTTCTCCAGACACCTGAGGCGTGTGCCAATGTGTTATTGACAGTGCCGGTCCACGCGGGAGTAAATATCACTGAGGTGTGAATTCACCTGGGGGGCTGCTGATCTTATATTCCTCAATTTCTTTGTTTTCTCCCCACTGAGTCAATGAGAGTCTCCTGTGTTCTCAGGAACATTGATGCTCTGAGGGCTGAAGCATGAGGATTGTATAGTTTCTGCTGCTTTGGCTTTATGTTTTGTCATTTGGCCCTGCTCAAAAGTGAGGTGACACATACATGTTGTGCTGTTGTTAAACAGGGATGAACGAATGAAAACAGAAGTAAAAAACAAAAACCTGCAAACAGCCAAAAGCAGAGAGAAGCGCAGCGTTGGGAGCCGCACTGCCATATTGGAAACATCACTGCACTGAAATGTTGAGTGCCAAGATTTTCAACTAACTGAAAGAGGCAGATTTCTTTTGGCTTTGTCTGTCTAAGTGATTTCCGTGGTCTTTGTCCCTTTGAGTTAGCATAACACTATCTAATGCGTCCATGGATGGAGAACAGAAACTCCCAAAAAAAGAGACACACTACTCAATTGTTAATGCCAATAAAAAAACAACTCAGAGAAAATCAGATTGGTCTTTTTGTTTCACATTTGTTGCCTTGTGCAGAATAAAATTTAAGCGAACCATACAACACAGAATTCATTTCACCATCTCAATCTGATGCATTCTCTAAACACTGTTTGTTTGACCTGCTTTGTGCGGTATGTGTACCTTCTTTTTTAATAGTAAAACTAGCAACTGTGTTTAAATCATTTGTCTTCAAAAAGTATGAAAAAACAACTATGAGGAACAGATGGAGGTTTCATTCTACTCATCAAGGACTACAAAGACAATTTATTAACCCAATAATGACTAACGACTATATTTAGTATGTTAAGGAAAAGCCCCACTGTTTTTTTCTATTAGAGATGCAAACACTAAATTTGCTGTAGGATCTGTAAAGGCATGTGGTCAAATCAAAATTTCTCTTTTTGACATGCCTTAATTAGTAGACACAGTTGATTTTCTATCACAAAAATAAGTTAATTTGACATGTTAAATATCAGATTTACACTGCATTAAATCACATATTATTGAAATGGTTCTGAATCCAATGGTACTAAGCATTTGATATAACTCCTTATAGTTTTTGAGATACCTACATTTCTGTATCATACTATATTCAGTTGTTAGTCACCAGTGGTTACTGATTTTATCCCATAGGAATACATTATAAAATGTCTATCAGGTCTACACAATGGCAATACTGGACCAACAAATGCAACAGATTCATATTTTTCGTATTGAATTTATATTGTAATAAAATAGAATGTGTGTGAATATGAAGATCGGTATTTTCTAACTTATTGTTCCAGGGGTGTTTTCCTGGAAAAAAACAGCTACCCGTAATGACCCTACAAACTTACTAGATAAAACACAAAGGTAATAAAGGGTATAAACAGGGGTTCTGTTTGAAAAGCAAACCTTCACAATTCCAAGAAGAAACAACATTTAAAAAACACCTGGGAACACCTGGTAGACATTGCGATCTATCAGCCAAAAAGTACAAAGTCTTTGTTTATTAACTACTATTTAACAGATCAAACAAAAAGGTCAGAAAGAGTATCAACAGCGGCATTGTTTTTTTTTTAAGAAAACCCCCTCAGAACTCAGAGAAGAGAGAGAAAACAGAAACAACATGTCACTCAGAACAGATTCCCTCTCACCCACCTGATGCGACAATGATACCCGGCGCTGAGTCCCTGCTGGCTATGTTTCCAGATGTGTAGGGATTTGCAGACACGTGGAGATGGAGATGTAATGAACAGTACGGCTGCGGGATAAAAAAATCACAAACTCAATTATTTGAACTATCAAGCCGAGCCAACAGTAAAAACTAAAAACCTTCCAAAAACATTTGTGAATGAAGCAGCTGTTGCATCGACTCGCATACACTCACCCTCACGAGTCATAAGTTTTATCACAAACACCATTTCCCCATTGGCTGGTTTCACCATTAATTTTGATTGGGTTAACCTTTACTGACACAATTCTCATTATGACCCAGCAAAATGCCAGTGGTGCAGGCCATGTTGTGACGGCCTGTTTAGAGGTTTATTAAAACTCTGACATTTCCTGACAAATGACTGTATAATATGGGTAGAAGGCAAGGCGTGCCACAGAATTGCTAATTGGTTGATCAAGAAAAAAGTTATTGTTTTTCATATAAAGTCATATAAAGAGATTAGATGTGCTAATGTGGCTTGAAGATGATGTGCTTTAGTGACACAAACCATCAAATCCACACTGTTGTCTCACTACTTTTTCACTCAAGCACACGTTAGAAGAGGGCGCTTCATAGACAAACACATCTGTAGCTGCAAAGGCACACCATTAGATGCTTTACTTTAAATTTCCAACTTTGGCTTTTTGAGCGAAAACTTGACTCGACTATGAGAAGCGTCCAACTTTCAGAGGCTTTCAGGAAGAAAGACAGATAAAAAGAAGTGTGTACTTTTCTGTCTGACACCTCTTTCTCTCTATGTTTCTTAAATGGGAGGTCAGCTTATTGGACTGAATCAAAATGGCTGACCTTTCAGCTCAGCAGCCTCAGAGCACTCAGCTTTGACGGGCACTGCTCTTTCTGAGCTCGGCCTCTCGTTGCTGCTGGGATCAGTCAGCTCCTGTCAAGGCCTTGCTTTGATGGAAGCGCACACGTATAAAACCATGTATGAACGCAGCACGCTCACAGACACTCACAAGCACACAGTGAATGCTGTTGCCCCTAAGGTCTTTGCTCGGGGCCTGCAGTAACCGCCAGTCTCTGCCTCTGTTGTAGGTGATGTGAGTCTTCACTTGGTTATCCGTCTTTTTGTTGGCAAGGAACATCCCCTTTATTCCCGCTACCTGTGAAATTAAAAGGAGAACAGCTGAAAACGTTAGCGCACTTCACATGTCCTAAAGATAGTGTGTCATGTTGCAGAAAATGAATGCAACGCTGCAAAACTCCCTGGAGCAATGCTTACCTCTTTTGTATTCCCAACAAAACCAAATACAGCCACAGACATTGAGTGGGAAATGATCGACTGGCTGGGGACTTTTGAGTAATCAATGTGTGTCTTAAATGAATCTGACTCCTCATTGGAGGCCCCTAGGAATAGCTCAGGGACACTGAATTGAGTCAGTCACGTCAGGCAATGAAACTCCACTTTAGTAATTGACAGATACTTCAATCTCCCTTGGAGGAGAGATTTAGCATATCCTCCGTTTTGGGTGGCGACCCCAATCAAGACAGTGGATTTGATTCTATCAGCGAGGCCACAGCAAGACATGAGCGGCATCATCAACAGCTTAATTATTTGATTCAGAGATATAGTTTTATCCTGTGCTGATATGTCTTTAAAAATCATACCTGCCTCAACATTAGCCCATAAACCCCCCCCNNATATTGGATTCGGTACATTTTGTGAAGTAATATCTGCAGTTATTCATCAAAGAAAGAAATAATCCCAGCCTCCCAAAAATCTATATCCCTGGCACAATCCCCTCTCGCCTTTGTTGATGTCAGCACTTTGAAGCTGCTTCGTATTCACACAATGTGCTCTGAAGACTGTAGGCCTACAGCGGCAGGGTTTCTTTCCAAAATGACAAAACAAGTACATTTCATAATTTCTGCCTCGCAGCTCTAAAATATTGATCACTGTTCATAATAAACTCGTGGGCTGTGCACTCATCAAGCAGGCCTTTATTTGATACCGTTATTTACAAAATTGGCCAAAATGAATACTGCAGACGCGGGGGTTGGCGGTAGGTGCAGAGGTGGTGAGCGGAGTCATTCTACTGTCAGTACCGCATGGTACTTTGCTGCTCGAAGCACATATTTTAGATCATCATTTGCCACCAGATAGATGTCTGTTTACCTCATAGAGGTCGACCATGACGTTGCCCTCGGGGCCCATGCTGCTGACCACGTTCTCCAGAGCCAGGGTGTAGTAGACCCCTGATGTGTCCGACACGTACAGGTTGTAGGTTTCATTCTGGTTCCACTCCTGTACAGCTGCAACCACACGGTTTTCATCTGTACTGATCACATGCAGGTCCTGGCAGAGAGGCAAAAATACATGATTTAATTGTATTGTTACCACAGTGTTTTATATTTATTTTCTCTTATTCTGTTTTCATTTTTAAGCGCAGGCTTAATTTTGTGCTGTAGTGTAATGAAAAGAAGTAGTTAGATCTTGGAGGGATGCACCTTCCATTTTTTTTGTGGTGCTAAGCCATAGTCATATAAGTTCCAATGTGGAAAGACAAAAAGGTAATACAAACACAGATTTCCAGGACAAAGTTGACTAATCTCAGTTTCACCAGTTTTTTCTTGCCACGTCAAACAAACATGCTCACGTTCCAGCCTAGTGGCTTTCATCAGTCTTTTATATACAGGAGTTGGCAGGTGATTGGCTTAACATGGTAATTAATTAATTCCTAAAGCACACATTATTTTTTCTTTTGATGACTGGACAGTGACTAAAATTAAGTGAATGATTTACATTTCACATGTTTTTAGTCATTGCCAATGGTTAGGAAAAAATATATGCGACTTTAGGAAGTTTGTTACAATGTGACCGTTTATGCCAATCACCTGCAGACTCCTTTTTAACTGATACGTTAGCATGTTTGTTCAAATTAATTAAATTCAGATAAGTCAACTTTGTCCTGGAAATCTGTGTGTGTAATGCTCAGTTGTTTTAACGAGGTATGTTTGTTTATGACAAGAAAGATAAAGTTATTTGGTATGTAGAAGGTAAAAACCTTCATTTAAATATTCTCATCTAATGCACCTCCTAAAAAAGTAATTTAACATTTACATTCATTTCTTCTAAATTGATGGAATAAATAAGCAGCTGTATAAACTCTCCTCTAATTTGTAATTGACATTTGTGAAAGCAATAATTTCTAATCAAAAACAGGATCTAACATGTCTCAACAAGGAAACATAAAAACTTTTAGATTGTATACTGTTCTTACACTCATGCTGGGTTTAATCAGATTCAATAATCAGAGTTGCTTCATCCTCTGTATTGCTTTATTTTAACTGAGAGGATACTACAATCATTAAAACTATGTCAGGCTTATTGGGCAGAGATTATGCAGCTGAGGCCATGCTGTTTGGTTGTGTTCTTCATCTACCTCTGACTGTGCCAATAACACCTTGCAGTGAGCCGACAGCAACCGGGGCGCCCAGGGCTTGATTGAATAAAACATGTTTAATTGTCAATGGGGACGTGACAAGCGAGGCCATGCGCACACAGAGCAGCACGGAATAACAATTCTGGAAACACTGCGAGAGTTACTTTTGGCCTTGATTTGCCCATAAATAACAAAGAGAGTGTCACGCAGCGCCAGCAATGAACTGGGCTTTAGTTCAACTTTAGCCCACATACCAAACAGATATTATGTGCCTCTGAATGCAGAACGCTTTACAGAGGTGCAGCACTTTCAACTAAAATTGAAAGTTGTCTCATATATTGTTGCTGACCCGTGATAAGACATGGACTCTTGCCGAGGTTCAGTTCATTATTTGTTAATCATCAAGGTCTCATCTGTTCATGTTCATTTCATTTTAATCAGGCAGTATACTTGTTACCTTGGGCAGGGTATACTTGGGTAGCTTCATGGGTGTAAAGACATCTCTTTTAGCAGACACATAGTAGATTGGCCTCCCTGCCGTTGACACCTTAAGGCAACAAAACCATTGAGTGAAAACATTTTGGTGACACGTTAACAAAAGAAAACAGATAAAGCATTCATCACCACCACAGAAAGACATGAAATTGCACTAATAGCACCTTTCTGAGAATGACCTTGAACAATTTCCTACAGAATTCTCATACTTTCTGCCTCACATGCTGCTCTAATGCTTTGCACTGAGAAAACTGGACAATTACCTACCTGGACAAACACATACTCATCTTGCACCACCAGAGAATTGGGGTCAATGTAGCCGGGGAATGGTTTGCCCTTGTTGGCGTCTGTGCAGTTCTGCAGCTTGCAGGTGACATACAGTGCCTCTGCTCTCACACACATAAAAGACACACACATACCCACACGTCAAGCCATGGCATCAGCAATGGTATTAGCCAATGAAGAAAGGCAGCCTTCACCAAGAGCCAAGCGGCCTCTTTTGGATTCCTACATTACTCGTGTCAATAAAGTGGTCCCAGTAAGGGAGGAGCCAGGCTGAGGGGAAGACAGATGACCAGAGAGGCCAATTGCTTTCTTTGCCTTCAATCGTAGCGCTGGGAGAGAGCCTGTCCCCACATGTTAGCCTCTGCCAAGTATGTGTCGGCTTCCTCCATGCGCACATGACCGATATGGTCTCTAGTTATGTGACTGTAACATCTGACACGACTGATGTTTGCAATGAGTGTTTGTATGATTGGCTTTTCTCTATTGTGTTGGCCTCAAAGAGAGGGTTCTGACAGAAAGGTGGCACTTGAGAAGGCTTTGTAAAAATTAAGTGAGAGGGAAAGAATACATTATTTACTAAGTATTAAAGGGGCACAACATTTTTGTATTGCACTTCTGTGAAGCTAGAGTGCTCACGAGAGACAGATTTAAAAAAAAAAAAAGGTTCGAAATCAAAGTAGCAGACACACAGATATCCTGAGTTTGCTGGATGCTACTTTTCACATAATTCAACCAATAGAATGTTTTTTTAGACACACCTGTCTTTTAAACTTAGATTGCAACACAAGCTTTCTGTTTTGTAGTCTTAAACCATATAGAAAGATGGACGACATGACACCAATCCAAATGTGAAGCCAAAACATCTTGATTGCCCCCTGGTGGCTGGCTTCCTAGTCAAATAATTTTTTCCCAAAAATGGTTCCTGGCATTTTATCATACTGATGTATCCTTTTTGTACAGTGGGAGGAAGAGCAGGCATCCAACTTCATATGCCGATGTCTTAAACCCTATCTCAAGATAAGTATCTGATGACAATATCAACCCCTGATGACATAATCAGTGGACTTCATTAAATCATTTCAAGTTAACTATATAATTGTGAATATATTATTTTTAAGGCAAATACTTGCTCGGAGAGATGAATAGACAAAGAATTTTCTGAAAAATCTGTTTGACGTTTGTTAGTTCTCCACTCTTGCACAGGCTTACTTTGTATGTGTTGGCTATGGGGGGATAAAAAAGGGAGAAAAAAAATAATTTTTAAAAAAAACAATTGATTTAAAAAAATTCTGACATCAGACTCGGTAAGCAAATTAAGTCAAATCCTATAAGTCAACCCACAATATCCCAGTGTTCATTGTCATTCAGGAGGATGAGTGATGTTTCTCTATACCTACCAGAGCGCCAGTGAGCTAAATCACTCGCTTTTAAAAGCATTCTAATATATGCATTACTTTTCTCTCCATTGTCATTGTGTGTCCCCAGACTCGGCCATTTCCGCTGTCCCCATGCATTACCCTTCAGCTGAATTGTCCACACAACTCCCAGTTTCTTTAACACGAGGCTCACCATACAGTACAAAGACATGAGAAAATGGAGCGCTGAACTCGGAATTCAATTACTCACGTCCTTCAGAGATACTGGTTTCCAGGTGAATTAAGCCCGGCTCTTTGTCCAAACCCATTTTCGACCTGAAAGGCAGACAAATGTGTTTTAGGAACATCAACATTGGTCTCTTGCCTTCGGGCGGATGCCACCTATAGCTGCTGTCTGACCTGAGAGATTGTATGCTGCAAAGTCAGACAAATTTATAACTACAGGGAGGTTAAGTCAAGTGCTATGACAGCTGTGGTAAACATCAGCAGGAATTGGCTGCAGGAATTACCGTGTCTTTGTCTTCATTTTGGATGGCAGTTTAAAGTGTAAGGAAAAAAGGACCTCGGATTTACTGTGTGATCTAAATGTTTAGAGCCCCCAGAAGGTCCTTTTTAACCCCAGACGGATGGAGGAAGACGTTTCCTGACATCATTAGGAGAGGAAAAGCCATTGATTTTCCCGCTACAGTAGGGATGTCCATAGATGGAATAGCATATAATCATTACGGCATTAAATATGTATTAAAAAGACTGGGGGATCAGAGGAGAAGCAAAGGCAGAACACACATGGAGGGAGAGAGAACAGGGAGAGGTGGAGAGAGGCGGGGTGGAGAGGAAGAGAGAATGTGCCGACAGGTAGCAGGCACATAAATGGAGAAAGAAATAGAGGCAGGCTGTGTGAGGAGAATGAGAAGCAGACACAGTCAGAGACAGTCAGAGACCACCACATCTTCTAATCATTATACGTATTGGTAGTATTGGTGATTTCCCAGATGAAACACAACTGTGAATAGGATGGCCTACTTATCTAAACCGCATTTCCATTTCCACTGAATAATCCATTTAGGTAGCCAAGAACAGTGTGAGGCAGGCGAAAAAAAACTCTTTGAGTTAGAGCAGCTGTATGGTTTGTTTAAACTCATATATTTTCCCAACTTGGGGAAGCTCATCTATTACGTTGCCAGCCTACAGTAGTGTGTATGCATGATACCGGTTCCGACAGCCGCGTGGTCTCTGAGTAGTCTTAACGTCAGATCAGGTGGAAAAAAATTGGACTTATTAGGAAATGGAGCTGTCGCCTTGCTAAAATATCACACACAGGCAGCTCCAAAGAAGTTTTAGCAATGTCCTATTTAAAACATATCACTCTCAAAAACTGATTATAGCTGCAATGTTTGTTCAAGTTTGCGCCTTACAACTGACCCGCAGCACTACCAAAACAGCTTACGACTCCTCATTGTCTTTACATGTTTGGTGGCCTCATGCACAGCCAGACATAAGCTCCCTCCGCAGCCTCATTACCACGGCTACCACCACAAGCACCGCACAGTGTGCGTCCCAAAATAGAACTCTGACAGCTTCTGCAGCATCAGCCCTCCAGGCTCCCTTCACTCCTGGCTGCCCAGCTTGTTACTACCCTGACAGTTCCGCCGCAGTTTGTTGAGGTGAAAGCTTTTTGTTACGTGTTAGTTACTGTATAGAGGCCAGACATGCTAGATAGCACTGAGTTGGACGGCGCCTGAGTGGTGGTGGTTAGTTGAGGAAAAGAGGGGAGGCCAGGGATCAATAATGTTAAACGTAGCAGTTAAAAGTTGGGTAAATCTTCATCTGAAAGAACTAAAGTAATGATTATGCAACAATTCCAGACAGACACATAATAAGCATTGCTCTGGGGAACCATTAGATTGTTTCAATTTAGTTTATCTAATCTCAAAGGATAACAATACTCAGTTTGCACCCAAAAAATGATTTTGAAGCCTCTCTCCACAGCTGAACATTGTCGGTCACATAATGTAACTGTCTGCCACAGAGGAAGATCAGGCATGTCAGACACATGAATAATGAAAATCTTAAAAACCTCTCTGGCTCATCACTTTGTGGTGAGGCAATGACGTAGTCTCTCCAGGACATTTACAATGTCAAAACTGCTCTTCATTTGGCTTTGAGTTCAACATTAGTTTTACTGAAAGCTGTCCCAGTATTGTTTTGTAACAAATGTTCAAGAACTAACAAATATGTTTAAGAACTAACTAACTTTAAGATTATTCACTCAAACAATTTAAGCTATAAGATATTTGATTTGTGTAAAAGTAACTCAAGTATTTATTGATAAGATTACTTGGGTAAATTAAGTTAATTGTACCAATTCCATTCAGTTAAATGAAGTTACAGTCACATGCAGCCTTTCTCCAAACTTATTTAAAAAGTGTTTATTTATCTGAATAAAGCATCTTCTTTATACAAATGTATAATGTTAAATCTCATGGCTCACCAGTGATATTTAGTTTATAACAGCTGCAGTGAGTACGGACATGGCTCACTAGCTCACAGGATGCTAATGTTGGAGGGGACATGCTAACCTTCTTATAGCATACTGTGGTAAAAATGTTATTATGTTTACTCTAAACTGTACTGTGTTAACATACACAACCACCAAGTTTAAATGTACTCTTCCACTAAAGCAAATTATTACATTACCTGTCAAAACAACTAACAAACTATAAAAACAAATTATTATTAATTGATTATCAAAATAGTATCTAGTTCATTGTCTCGGTTGAGTCTACCGACTTTGGGAATGAGACTCAACAATCAACTATCTTAAAGCCACCAGCCCAAAGCGTCTTTCTTTCTCTGCTCTGATTGGTAGCAGTTTGTCATTATCCACATAGATGAGCAACTGTGTAGCTGTTAAGAATTAATATAATGCCATTTGGACTGTAATGATTATTATTAAGTACTACTAATACAAGTAATGTAACATTTTACTAAATGTGAGCTAAATTGGTATTTTTTCTGTAGAATATTAGCTGGGATTATATAAATTCACTTTTTCCTGACTAACACTGGGCAGGACCGAAACAACGAGAAGCTGCATAATTGTATCTCATTGTTTTCATGTAGAAATGTATATTAATATATACTTGGGCTTGTTTAATACTATGTAGGTCACCAATATATGCCTGAGTTGAATTTATAGAAACAAGGTAAATGCAAAACTGGTCAGAGAAAAACAGAATTATATATTATTTTCATTCATCCATGACCTGAAAAGAACAGAAACCAATACTATACCATGCATGATTTTAGTTTATAATTTCCTATTGCCTTCAACTTGTTTAAAATGGTCCAGTATTTCTGTACTTACCAGTAGAAGCGATTGGGAGCCACTCTCTCATGCACCAGTTGCCACCTCCTCCCAAACTCCACCGAGCTGTAGAGCTGTAGCAAGACAACCAGGCACCAGTCAGTATTTGTTCACATACCATCTTAACAGCCAATCAAATTTACCATTTTGTACAACACAAGCCGTCCTACTATCAAATTCTGTGTTTGCCCTTGAAATGATGTGCATTTGCAAAGGATTTTTCTCTGGGTTTGTTTTCACACATTGATTTACTTAGTACCTCAGTGATCCTTTTAACAGCTGCAGTGTAACGACAAGTGGGAGACGAACTCTCTAACAGTTTCACACACACACCACACACACACACATACACCCTGTATGCAAGTTCTTTATTTGAATCCACTAAATTAGATTAAAATTTACATAAGATTCGAACACTGCAAAGGAATAACATGGTTTAAGGAAATTTAGGGATGCAAGCATTGTCTGCCTTCCTACACGACCAATTACTGCAGAAACCTGACAGAGGTTTTTGCCACACACACACTCACACACACAATGAACAATGAGTTAAGAATGGAACCATAAAGAAAGAGCAGGGCGCGGGTTTTCCTGTACTAGAGAAATGCACCTTCCAGTAACAAGCCTGTGACTGGGATGGGGAGATGAGAAGGGGGGCCCGAGCATGGCGGGTGGTCTCAAAAAATGGTCTCAAAAATTCTTCACTAGTCAGTAAATCACTGGATTGCTGAGATTTTACAAGCTACACAGAAAAGGCGGAGAATGCATGTGAAATCCCTGTGTAATGGAACTAACTGTCCATAAAACTAAGAACCCTCAAGTGTCTTAATTTGTTCCCATGATTGTTCCAGCTGATTTAAGCTGAATTCTTTAACCTAATTAATGAATGAAGTCAATATTAAAGGGCTGCTTTACTCAAATGACAAAAGATATTAAAATATATATTCAATATGTGCTCACTAGAGATTTCTAGCCATGCAACTAGTTTTGGTTTTCTTTGTCCGATTGAAATATCAGTCTGTTTTTTTACACAGTGCTAATAATGAATCTAAATACAGTTTTGATTTCCATAAACAGTTTTTTTATTGAAATACTCCATAAGAAGATGTTTCACATATTTATGATTAATCAATTTTACTGTGTATAATCTTTGTATATATATATACATATATATATATATATGTATATATATATACCAATATTTTCATATGACCAATGGATTACATGACTATGGGTAATATGAAATGGGTCGAATAATTATCATCCAACCCTGCTGTTCCCCTCAGCAAAGCTCTTATGAATATACTACACGACCTGCTCAGCTTGCTACAGAGTTATGTCCCAAACTGACGAAAAAACAAACATAAAAAAAATGAATAATTCAGCTTTAAATGTGATTTTACAGCTCTATGAGCACTAAAAACAAAATTCCATTCACCTTGGTTTTATCTGGGTTGAGACAGATCCTGTAGAGGGTCAGATCTCTTAACCTGGACAAATAAAACTAAAACTATTTGCAGGGATCAGTTAAGCACAGTAGTGATGAGGTAATTTCATAGTTGAAATGTTCTGGCCCTTCAAGTTCTAGTTCAGATGAATGAACAGATTGATTGACAGAAGAGCAATGACGTTTACACTGCACACTTACACAACACATCTTATCTTATTTAAGAAGTGAGTTAACATGTATTAATCCTCCAAACAGTCCCTCTTTCCTGTGAATTAAAGCTTACTTTAAAATAAATTGCTCTCAGTTGTTTTGAGTGCACCTTTTTTGTGCAGTATTTCAAGTATTATAATATAATTCCAGTTTGTTCCATTAACTCATTTTATTTAAGTTGAGTTAAAATCATTACGAAAATGTATGACTCACTGCTATAGGCTATGAATCGGATTTTCTTTTGCTAGGATTTTTCATTTTTTGTTTTGATTTAATTTTATTAATCATCATATGCCCAATTATGCAACCAAATAATTCTTAATGATTCCCCAAAAGTCTAAAGATTTCATGTTTGTCACACACAAAATAACAGATTGCCTACCATTTTGATAATTAATTAATAATAAAGAAATAATAAAGAAGATAGATTTAAGGTACTTTATTTAGATAAATTCTGCTAACAGATAAGTTTGGAGAAATGCTGCATAAGTGTAACTTTAATTAACTGAATGGTAATAATAAAGAATCAATTAACTTAATTTACCAAAGTTCCTTAACAATAAATACTTGGTCGAGTTAATAAACTTAAACGGTTTAAAGCAATTGGTTTCCTCAAACAGTTTGCATTGAACTGAATCAAGTTTTACAGTGAAATGAGGAGAGACAGACATGAGGAATGACATGAAACAAGTAGGTCCCTCATGCACCAGATAAATCATTAAAAACAATCTGCATTCTGCCTACATATTCTGTTGGTTGCTCAGTAAAATCAACACTAAGTAAAGTCCTCTTGTCTCCAAACACACCTGCATTGTCTGACGAAGCACAATGACATATCCGTTTACTCTATAGCTTACAGCTGGAATTTAATGAGCCATAAAACTTATTTCAGTGTTTCAAGCTGGACTTTTTCCATTTTAGGCATGAGCAGCCACGCGTAATGTGTAAACAATCATTTATTAGCGGATAACAAAAATGCAACTCTGTTTGTTTATATTAATTTATTTTCTAATTGTGCTTATTTACTTTATCCCGAAAGGTGAAGTGTAGGCCTGCATTAAAAAAGCGGGGATGCAGAGTCTCTCCATCTTTCATCCCATACAGATCATGACTGCTGTCAAATCAATAACTGTCTTTTATTTTCCTAACCAGGGAGTTATGTTTTTGAATTTCTTATATGCCTCTTTATATTTCAGTGTATCTTAACATCACATAAGACATTCCAACCATAGCTGACTAGAAAACAAGAGTTACTGCTAACGTTAATAGAGCACCAGTTATTGCTTAAACACAAATCAGCTAAAGACTGTAAACTTTACAGTAAAATGACAGTATTTTCCCCCACTGTGTCTACTTCATTGGATTGCTCCACAATGGCCATATGCAAACTATATATTCACTGTGACTACTGCATCTGGTATGTGTATATTCTCATGTCAAGCAGGGAGAGACAAACGGCATGGGTGATGAGATTTCCATGACTTCCATGCCAAGCTGTGCTAAGCAGATGCAAGTGAAAAGGGGATGAGGCTAAGGGGGGCGGGTGGGGTATGGGAAATCACTTTGACTAATTATCCTCCCACAGCAAGTTAGTATGTAGCCAAGCAAGTGACAGTGAAGAGGCAGAGAGCAGGAGACGGGGGGAAGCGAGGGGGGTGGTGAAGGAGGGATTGACGCAGCCTTTACAACCTCCAAAGGTCTCTCAATCAACAAATGCAGCAGCACTGCCAAAAGGAGGTGAGGAAATTGAAAGAGAAGCAGTTTTTTGGGGTGGAGGTGATACATGCGAGTTGGGGTGCGGGTGAGAGAGTGGGCGGGTGAGGGAGTGGAGGCATCTGACGTACAGGGAGTGGAAGCACAGCACAAATACAGCGAGTGAACTACTAAAGTTTAACAAAATCTGTTTAAAAATGTGTCAAATTCTGTCTTACAGCTAGTCCCAATGACAAATTACAACCATTATCTTAGTCCACATAAATATATAAATATTTTTAGATTTACTTTATGGACAAAACTTTATCTTTAATGTTAACTTGGCCATGAAAGGCTATGGTTCCCAACCTCTGGGCTGGGACCCCCAAACGGGGTCACAACATTTATATATAATTACAATGATATTTTTATTGTTGAAAATAAAGAGCACATACAAATCTTCAGGTCTCTTTTAATTAAAACTATTACTCTGTTTTCTGGTCATAACCCGTAACTCGATACAACTAACAGGGTAAGTATAGGGTCAAAATAGAGACATTTAAAGGGGTCACATAAGGAAAAAAATATGTGGTGGTTATTACACAATTAGGTTTGTCTTACCAGAAGAGAAACATTCAAATAAACAGATATTATCTCTGTTTCTATATGTTTAACTGCATGTCTATGTAGTAATTGTAGTATGACTGCACTATAAATACTGAGCAGTATGACACACTGCACAGTATCATGTAGAAAATTGAAATATGCAGAATGTACTAGCATAATTATTCATACAGTATGATAAAAGTCTGGATATTTTAGTAATTCTGGGAAAGGCTGCCCTGAATTTAGCCTCTTGAGTTATGGCTGGCTATGTGTGTACAAGCTCCACCAGTGTAAGGCTTAAGCGTAGGTGGCTAAGGTTAGCTTAAGGCTGTGTTGTTGCTGGTTAGAGTCAGCCAATCCTCGCCAGAGCCTTGCATGCTGCCTGAGATACTGAACTCGTGGCATCAAGTGCCTTGCTTTGATACTGTTGGCAGGAATGTTGGGTTACTTGTCAATGTAAGGAAATTCAAAGTTGATGATTGTTTAAACAACTATAAAGACGTGTTCAATTTTGTCTTTAACTCAAACCTCAGCTAGCTTTGGCCAGTGTGTAAAGTTGTGTATCAGAGTAAAAAGAAACATCTATACAAGCTTACATCTTATTTTAAGGACTTGAGTGAGGATGGATGAATCAAGGCAGAAAGAAGGAGTAAAGAAACAGCTGTTTTTTTACTACAGCAAAGAAAATCTGGTAACAAAAAATATGAAACAGGAGAATTCAGGGACTGAACTACCAACCTTGCGATTAGAGGTGCAAAGATTGGTTAATTCATTCTACTAGTCTACCAGTTTGATAATCGACTGATCGTTTTGAGTGATTTTTGAAGTAGAAATGCTGAGATTCTCTGATTTCAACTTCTCAAAGGTGAATATTTGAGCCCTACTTGCTATTAACTTTTCCTACATTCTGTGAGATCTGCCGCCATTTTATTCCAATGAGCAGATTAACAAAAAGTCAAAATGGAGCTGCTACAACAATAACTGAAAGGCTGTGTGTGTCTAAATTGGAAAGAGCAAATTAGATTTATTCAAAAAGCATGTGTCCTTCGCACTGACCATCAAACATTTCGACAATTCAGTTATTAGGTTCACAATGATACTACTAATGTGGGATTTTTGCAAAATAGAAGTCAAGAACTTCAACTTATTCATCTCTCAATAGCCTCTTCAGCACTGAAGAGATTTTTATGCATATATTTATATATATATATATAATAGTAATATCAGTATGAAAAGTTCTGTTTTACAGAAACAGAAGAAAGCTACTGCATTTTCTAACTCTCCTGTTACAAGGAGCTGACCTGAGTATAGACCTGATGTACTATTTTGTATTCTATGTGAAATAGACAGTACTCTAAAGTTTTACCATGGACAATTAAGTGACTATACGGCTGGGTATAGTTCATAAATGTTCTATACTGGTTCCTGAACGTTTTTTCTATTTTCTACCTATTTTCTAAAAAACATTATACATTACAGTACATTTACTCACTCCAAAGAAGGAAGCTTTTCAAAGACATGGGAGCTGCTGGAGAAATCGAAATAGACAAGACAGTTTTCGATAATCGGTAGAAACTGTGGAGTTCGGTCAGTGCCATAATCGTACTGAACTGCGCTACTAACCATTGTCATAGAGTTAGAGAAAAAAGTAACAAGCATCCTGAATCCTTATGCTCTACACTGGTATTGTTTGCACTATATGTAGGCCAAATGTGTTTTTTTACAGCCAAAGTCAATCACCATATTTATTTCTGCTCATGCATTGTTTCACCAGTCAACTAGAATTACCGCCTCACAGTTTTCCACCAGCCAGTCAAGTTGCAGTTTATGTATGTCTGGACACAGTCTATAATATGTGTAGTGAAGACTGAAGGAATATTGCTTTATGCCTAATACAGCTGCACGTGCTCATTGAGAGAAACCAAAAAACCAAAATCCTTTTATGTGTTCAAATGCTTAAAAAATAAAGCTGATTCTGACAGAACACAGAGTTGTAGCCATGAAAATGCTTTATATGTTGCTGTAAAGAAGCTACAAGTTCTAAAACGTGAATGCTTCACACACATTTTCAAACCGGCTGCACAGACGATCTCTATACAATCACCAGTTCACACAAGTTTCGATATAGGCACCCAAGATTTGTGACACCAATTAATATAACCAACCAAGTATTTTGAGATTTTTTTTTTTTGAGATACAAGAAAGCAGGACACTAACCTAATAGGCAGGTTTCGAGTGGAAATAAAGCAATTTAGGCTTCAGTATTCTTATATCCTAGAAGCAGTACGTACTAGGGTAGACCTGGTATGACTTTAACTAACAAAATAATTCATATAAAATATTTCTTTGTTTATTTTGTCTTGACGATTGACAGTATATGTAATTGACACATACTGGGTCTGAAAAGTGTCTTAAAATCTGCATTCTATGTAAAGGCCAGCAGGGGGGCCATGCATTGCCTGCAATAAAAATACGATACCATGCAGTCTTATGGAGAATAACCCGAATTTCCCTTGATTTATGAGCTCAGTAAACAGTTTCCTAATGAGTTTATGGTCTAAATCTCTAGTTTCAAGTCTTCTTCCATAGAACATGATGTTGATTTAGTAAATGATGGTCCCATTTAGATAAAGAAGGGTATGCTTAAGGGTGTGGCTACCTTGTGATTGACAGGTCATTATCAGAGAGTCTGTCCAGTTCACCGCATCAAACTCAGATC